GACATACAGGTATGTGAGGGGATGTCACATGGAGGTGGGTAGAGACCTGTTCTCCCATCCAGAGGAAGGCAGGACACGCTCCAATGGAACAAAGCTCAGGGAACCAAGGTTCCATTTGGATGCCAGGAAGCACTTCCTGACAGTCAGGACCCCAAGGGTGTGGAATGGGCTTCCACGAGAGGTCGTTGAGGCCCCATCGGTGCAGGTGTTCAAGGATAGGCTGGACGTCCACATGGTGGGCATGTCGTGAGCGGAGCCAGCTGGTGCTGGAGGTCAGACTAGATGGCCTGGGAGACCCCTTCTGACTCACTCTGTTTCTATGTTTCTATACTCCTGGCCCTCCTATCCCATGCCCCCTCCCAGCAGTTGTAGGTTCTGGCTATTCACAGAGCCTACCTGAACGTGTGGGGAAGGCAGCCTTGAGATAAGCTTCTCCCCACATGTTCAGCCTTTTCCCTTCTTGATATCAGGAGGTCCCATTTTCCAGGTTCCGGCCTCCCAGTGGGAGAATCTGGATCTCCCTGACCTTGAAATGTGCCCTAGCACAGCTGGCTCCTGACAGTTAGGACCCCAAAGGAATGGAATGGGCTTCTACGGGAGGTGGTTGAGGCCCCATCAATGAGGGTGTTCAAGGATAGGCTGGACATGCACATGGTGGGCATGTCGTGAGCAGAGCTGGCTGGAGGTGGAGGTCAGACTAGATGGCCCGGGAGGCCCCTTCTGACTTGCAAAACAATTAAATGAAGGTGCTTTGAAAGTCCTTCTTGGTGCTGCCAGTGCTTGGGCCTGATACGTTTAAATGGAGGATCCCATCACCATTCCTCCCCCACGGAAACAGAACTGCAAATGTTATTGTGCACAGAGAGGGCAGAACAGTTCTGGAATTGCCCCCACAAAATGCCCCAGACATTTATACAGACTTCCTTCTGAGGATCAGTCCGTGATGCAGCCTCTCGCATCAAGGAAGCCGCTTGCGTGGGGAATTGGCAGACCACATGGTGCCAGAAGGGAAACTGCGTCTATCTGGACAGCTTCCTCGTAAAGCCTCGGCAGGGGCTGCAGCAGCCTTGCCACCACCAGCGAGGGACTCTCTTTGAGGTGTGTGTGTGTGTGTGTGTGTCACTCTATAAAAATAGTGTCAACTTGGAATACAGGTTTCCCCAGCTACTCAGAGGCACTGAGTGTTTTCTGCTATGCATGAACAGTATATGAGGACATGTCTACAGCACAGGACAAAGCAAGGCTAATGCACCTTACTGTAACCCTTTGGAGGATCTCCCTTGGGTGGTCTCCCTCACCCCACTAAATTAAGCCACCCATCAATCACTTCATGGGAAGAACTGAGGACCCTCAACATTTTTTTGGAAAGTAGGGAGGATTCCACTAGGAACGGACCTCAGTTCACTAGACAGATAGAACAAAGCCAACCAACCTTAAAATGTCCTCCTCCTCTTCCAAGACTTTTCTCCATTCCCTTCGGTTGGAATATCTATGGACTTTACAGCTTTAGGGGATTTTGGACCCTGACAGGAGGAAGAGGAGGAAAAGGGGCAACTTCCAGAGCAAAGGCCATTAGGAAAACAACTGCAAATAAAACTGCCCCTTGGCGGGCTGGGGAAGTCTGCCCCAGAGTGCAGGACGGCCAACACAGCACAAGGATCTCCTTAAAGAAAAGCAATGCCCAGAGAAACATGAATACAGATGCAACAGGGACGATGGCTACAGCCATAAATTCACTGGGCTCATTATTAGTGGGGTGATAGCAGCTCCTCAAGTATAAGTCCTTCAAGAAGGCTGGCAAAAACCAAGCTCATCCCGTGTTGGTCCCAGCTCACCCAAATGTGTCTAGGTCTCTGCCCCCACCCACAAACTGTTCTTGGTTTAATGCAAGTGGGTTGCCATCTTTTGTTGCAGTCCATGGCTGGTGCACATGGATTAACTAGCTATCATGATTTCAGGGATATGATCTTGGTCGGCAGAGGCTGAGGGATCCAATCTGAGCAGGGTGGTTTTTTGTTGCTATGTGCTGTCATCTCCGAGTGATGGTGACCCCGTGAATGAATGCTCTGCAAGATGTCCTCTTCTTGACAGCCCTGCTCAGCGCTTATAATCGCGGCACTGTGGCTTCCTTTATGCAATCCATCTATCTTACATTTGGTCTTTCCCTTCTTCTTCTTCCTAGAGATTCCTTTTGACACTGGATTTTACAGGCACCATCCATGCTACTGAATCTGTTTTGCAAGAGGGGGTGGATGTCAGAAACATGGAACACTGCTCTACCGTTCGGCCTGAAACCTGGAGCATCGGTGGCACCAGCCTCCCGTGCTCTCAGCTTTAAAAATGCAGTGACAGTCCTACTAGGTTCACTTCTAGGATAATCATGGTAATGAGATTCTCAACTGAAACAAAAGGAGGAGGCATCCCCTTGGAAAACGTGTAGGAAGAGAAAATGTTGTTCAGTTATACGGCAGTACTGAAGCATATTAATTTAGGGAAAACACTTTAAATGCATAGGAATTTTGCAGGGGATATTGCATCGGCTTTAGAGGCATACAAAAAGCAGTTAAGCACCACAATAGAAGAAAACAGACTGCCTTGTAATTAAACAAAGCTTCACTAACCTGAATGGCAGGGCTTCTTTGCAAGGCATGGCTAGAAGGATTGAATCTTCCAAAGAACTGCGATCTGCAAGGAGCTTTTGTAATAGGCACAGCCTTGCCAATTTAAAGTAGCTGTACTTGTGTGAGTAGCGATCTTAGGACCTTGAACGGATCACTGAAGTCATCCTGTAATGATTAGGGTGACTACTTAAGCATTGCCAAAGAAGAGGTCCATCTAGTATGCATGTGTAGAGATGCAAAGTTAGAAATCGTCATCGTGGTTGTTGTTGTTGTTAGTCACGAAGTCCCATCCGACCCATCGAGACATGGACAACATGTCCCATGTCCCATGGACAACATTTCTCCAGGACTTCCTGTCCTCCACCATCCCCCAGAGTTCCCCTAAGCTCACGCCGACTGCTTCAGTGACTCCATCTAGCCACCTCATTCTCTGCCGTCCCCTTCTTCTTTTGCCATCTATTGTTCCCAGCATCAGGCTCTCCTCCAGGGAGTCCTTCCTCCTCATTAGGTGGCCAAAGTATTTGAGCTTCATCTTCAGGATCTGGCCTTCTAAAGAGCAGTCAGGGCTGATCTCCTCTAGGACTGACTGGTCTGATCTCCTTGCTGGCCAAGGGACTCGCTGGATCTTCTCCAGCACCACAATTCATTACTCCTCTTCAATCAACAGAGTAATGAAGGCCATAGTGAGGAAAGTTCTGACCATCCACATGCACTTGACAGTCCAAGCTGTGGATGGACAACTGTAAGGCTGTCACTCTCCCTTTGAAACTTGGTCTTTCACATAGAAAACTGTCCTCTGCCAACCTTTAAATAGAGAACTATGCTTGTAAAGCATGGCATGTGGCCACCCCATTAGCAGGTGCAACTTTGAAAATCTGTAATAGCAGAACTGTACAGAAAAGGAAACTTAGCATCTCTTATGCATCCCTGTAAAGATCTCATAATAATCCATGCTGTTCAAGGTCAGCCTTCTGTATGGGGACTACAACTCCCATCAGCCCCAGACAGCATGGAGAAATCTATGAAGGGACCCAAGCTGTGAAAGGCTGTATGTCCCTTCCATGTGGAAGTCTCAGAAGGTTGTTGGCCAAAAGTCAGTCTTTTTCAGCAATGGCTTTACATTTCAGAAAGGGTCTGCCCAAGCCAGCTTTTCAAGAAGTCTTCAAAGTTTTTCAAGACCATCAAGTGATGGAGACAATTTCCTGAGGCTGTTTTGTCTTGCAGGTGGTTTTATTGTGTTTTATATTTTACTCGGAGGTGTTTTTTGGGGGGCAGGGGGGTTGTTTGCACTTTTAGGAACGTCATTTAACATAGATCCCTTTTATTTGTGAATTTTTTATATAAAGTCAAAGAAGTCCACCCTGATTGAAATCTATTAACAGATTCTAGGATGTACAGAGCTCTTCTAAAAAATAAACTAATAAATCACTAGTCCTCTTGACATTTTGGGGGCTATTTCAACATTCTCCAGATGTTTTCCACATTCACTTCTAATTGTTTTTGCCAAAATATTGGTGGTGACTGTAAATTTGGGATAAGCCAAAACTGGGACTTTCTGGTAGATTTCTGGGTAATTTGAAGTATATCAGCAAGGATTCTTGACTGTCATTTGTTTAATGATAGCAACCTCAAAATGAGCTCTTCTATCTAAATTAGGCTGCTGAAATTAGGAGAGCATGGGATAGTTAATAGTGCACTTTTGTGTGAAAATTCTGTTCCAATACAGATAACAAATCTCTAAGCTCAGAATGTGCTCAGAGGCACAGTGACTGCCTTTAATACCTGGTTTTGGTTGGCGGATCCAGTTGAAGTTCTAGTAAGCAACAAAACAGATCTGATAAGACGGATCTGCTCATCCCTGCCATTCTTGAAACTGTAGGAGTGTGGTTAGAGTGATGGTCCGGAGACCTGAGACACCTGGGTTCCAGGCCCCATTCAGCCATGCAGTTCAATGGTGACTTCTGGTCAGTCACTCACTCTCAGCCTAACCTGCCTCACTGTTATTGTGAGGATAAAACAAAGCTGGGGAAGCTTGTGTTCCTCACAAAAGGGGAAAGGGGTGAAAGATAAATGCAATGCAATAATTGATGATGAAGATGAGGATGATGGCTGCTTTAGGTTCTTAGGCATATAAATATACTAAATACGTATATCTAAAAAGAAACCAACAACATTTTTATCATCTTTCTCTTGAAAGCTGTGAAGACTACAATGAAATCCTTCTTTCTGAATGGAGAAAGGAAGTCGGAAATTCTGTAGAAAATGTTCCCAAACACCCATGCTTCAATTCCTCTGAAAGACCTGCCTGCTGCTTTTTAACACCCCTCTCATCTGGTCGTCCCATCATGTTTCCCACACTGGCTTAAACTGTTTCCTAAAATGCTCCTTCTGATTGTTATCTTGTTATTGAAGGAAGATGTCTGTGGGAACTTTGGTCTTTTGGTTTCTGCACAGTCCAACGAGAGGAGGGTGGTGGCCCATATGCCCGGCGACATTATCATTGGGGCTTTGTTCTCGGTCCATCATCAGCCAACGGTCGACAAGGTCCATGAGAGGAAATGTGGAGAGGTGAGAGAGCAATATGGGATCCAGAGAGTGGAGGCCATGCTCCATACACTAGACAGGATTAACCAGAACCAAACGCTGTTGCCCAACATAACACTGGGCTGTGAGATAAGGGACTCGTGTTGGCATTCGGCGGTAGCTCTCGAGCAAAGCATCGAGTTCATAAGGGATTCTCTCATCTCAGCAGAAGAGGAAGAAGGATTGATGAAGTGTGTGGATGGATCTTCTTCTTCCTTCCATGGCAAGAAGCCCATTGTTGGAGTCATTGGGCCTGGGTCCAGCTCTGTGGCAATCCAGGTCCAAAACTTGTTGCAACTTTTCAACATACCTCAGATAGCCTACTCAGCCACAAGCATGGACTTAAGTGACAAAACCCTGTTCAAATACTTCATGAGAGTGGTACCCTCTGATGCTCAGCAGGCTCGAGCGATGGTGGACATTGTGAAGAGGTACAACTGGACCTATGTGTCTGCAGTACATACAGAAGGTAAGGAGCTTTGTTTTATCGAACTATGACATTCTCATGTGGTAAAGGGATGGTCCAGGTTACTGTATGCATATTTACTAAGTTTACTTAATATTATGTAGCACTGATTTTTTTGTCTACGTACTATAATAATAGTAGTAGCAGCAATATTGTTATTATTCTTAGGAGCAACAAGAACTTATACGAACATATCAGAATAGTGCATATCATTGCAAGAAATGTAACACAGAAGATAATATTCTGCTTAGAGTAATTGCTTAAAAAAGGCTTCATATCTAGGCAGGAGTAGAATTTACTCAGGAGTAAATTAAATTGATGGGATCTATTTTTCAGGAAAGACATATGGAATTGGAATTCAAATCATGTTTATACAATTAAGTTGAACCAATCCATCATAATTTTCACAATATTCCATATGTTAGGGTTGAGGTCACCAAATCATTAATTGATTGTGATCTTTGCTTCTGGTATTTCATGCAATATATTTATTTGATGAGACCAATGATCAGTTAAGACGTGTTGATCATATATATTGGGTTGCAGGGAAGCCTTCTAACTCTTTGTCACTAGGGTTCTTTCTATGATTGCTGATTTAAAAATCAATATAGTCCTTTGTGTTTCAATTTTACATAGCTTAATGACTTATGGATCCTATAGGGACCATTACCACTGCAATCTATATGTCTTGCCTTTGACACTGTTTACTTGAGGGTGTGTTTTATGTAACAATAACAAGGGTGTAACAATGTTTTATGACCACCCTCCATGGGCATATTTTTCCATTCCCCATTTCCTCTGTTTAGCAACTGTTCTTATGATTCTAGGTGGTCAAGTGAACTTTGCATGAGAATACAAATCAGTTTCTTCTTTTATTGGCATGTGGTGGCATTCTATTACCTATTTTCCCATTGTATTATCATATTCTCTTAGGAATCCACATTCCAGTAATTTTACCCCAGGCAGAGATGTATCAGCCTGGCTAAAACTAGGCCAGGGACTATGGGAATTGTAGTTCTTCCCAGAGTTCCTGCAAGTGGACTCCAAAAATAGCTCCAATAATTCTGGAGCCAGTCTTAATTCAGCCTGAATCCCCACTCAGGTAGAAAAGCATGAGAATTTCATTCCAAGGTGAAATCGTGATGGATTTTACCAGTTTGACTAGGCAGGTGTGATTTTCTGCACCAACATCAGGTAGATCTGTAGTGACTTGATCCAGGAAACAGATTTTTTAAAATGTTGTTGGCAAGTTGCACAAATGGCATCGCAATGTGTTCAAACAGGATCGAGGAGCTATTCTTACTCTTCAGAATTATTTGGTATACTAATATAGTGGCTGTTCACCAGCTTGCCTGTTCATTTGGGACTCTTTTTGCTTGGGAACTACCCTACTGGATGATAAAATTGACCAGTTCTTTGACACGGAAGGAATTTGGATCTGCTGGGCTCAACGAAACAACAAATGTCTACAAATGCAACTTGCACAAGACCACAATAAAACATGATCCCCCTACAATCCCCTCTGTGCACATTTAAAGACCCCCCCTCCAAATGATCTCTTTGTGTGTGTGTCCCATTTGCACAAATCAGGGACCCCAAGATGATTTGTTTTATTCAATGCATGCATGAATGCAAACAAAGCATTTCCAGGACAGGAAAGGAAATCTTCTGCATTAATGGCTTCCTTCCCTTTCATCTGATCGCATGGATCACTAGAAACCTGGCATCTCTCCATGCCTGCACCAGTCATCCAGTGCGAGCCATTTGCCCCCGTGGACCCATGCCTTTCACGGTAAGACATTCCCTTGGGGAGTGGGAGTTGCCATGACTCGCTGCTGCCATTGGCGTCCTCCCTCTTGGAAGCAGGACACGTGTCTGGCTTTGTGCTGTTATGAAGAATGTTTTCCACATCACTTCCCTCTTAAATAAAGTGCTTAACCCAGAAGTCCTTTAGATGACATTTTGAAAATGTCTAGCTAATTAGCTAAATGTATCTAATGCTCAGGGCAACTGGAATATATATTACATCACTGGCAGTTTACAGAATATAGGAAAAAACATTGGGGCAGTAACAGGGAGGGCTCAGAAGCACAAAGTAGGATGAAAGAAGACTGCCAATGTGTGATATGAGAACTTTGAGCACAACAAGAGTGATGGGTTTCCTTCTGGGAGGCTTGACTTCTGCTCCAGATGGGGTTCATGGGTCCAGATCCCATCAATAGGTAATAGAATATGGAATGGGATAAATCTTTTTGTCGGATGCATGAATGAACTCATAGCCTAGGATTTTCTTGGAGGACCCAGTCCAGGTCCCACAGGAAACTGGAACAAAAACTTTTAGACTTAGCCCCAAGCTTGTAGACCTATCTTCTAAGCCCAGCCTAAGTCCACACTATTGCTCTTGAGATGCTAGACAATGGCAGTGCTTTTTCCAAGAACATTTCCCAGAGAAGAGCTTTCCTGGGTTGCTCACCCATTGGTTATTTCCTTCCACCGAATGCAATAATTGATCACTTCCTCTTGTGCTTTACTCTTTGTTTCATGTGTTTGAAATGGTGTCCCTTCATGAAGGGTCAAAAGTCCACTTTCGCTAGCAGCACTCCTCTAAGGGCAGAAACCAGGGGACTTGGGTTCATATAGGAATGCGGGATCATGGGAACTGGTTCCTGCAGTGAGCAAGATGCTGACCCAATCCAGGTTGCCCAGCCCTGGTCCCACTTTAGGACCCTTGTTCCCTGAAAACAGTTAAGGGAAAAACCGCAGAGCAACTCAGAAAACAGAAAAGCAGGGTTGATCTCACTGGGAAGGGAAAAGTGAGAGGGAAGAAGGCAAGCACCAAAACAAATCAACAATTTAAAGTAAAACTCTAAACCATAAAATAAAGGGATGGTTATATGGCTTGCCTGTGTAGGGTATTTTAAGAACAATGTTGTATTTTAAATGCCCCCTTCCATAAATGTTATATTTATGTTTACATGGTCATGTAGAGTCATGTGGAAATGACTTCAGAGGATTCTTCACTGTGTTATGTTGGCAGAGAAATGCATTTGTCCTTCCTGCCCCAACACTGGATTATTTCTCTGCAGGGGAAAAATATTTCCTGGTACTTTCTCCAGGCAGGGCTCACCGGAACTTGCTTATTCCAAAGTTTCCTTTTGAGGGAGTTCAGGGGTGCTACTGCTGCTCCTGAAAGGGGCATCCTGGCATCTCTTTAGCACAGTCCACAATGCCTGGGGCTGTGTGCCATCCCAGGATGTGTGTGTGTGTGTGTGTGTGGAGCGTAGGACTGCCAGCTATCACCAAGGGAAGTTGGAGACTCTTTGCAGAAAATTCTGCCAGGTGCCCTGGTTTTCTTAGGACAAGAGAAAGAAACCCCTCAAACATTTTCTTGGGAAAAAGTGTCCTGAGACCTCCTGGCTCAGCTCTGTTAGTATGGATTTTTAAAGCTTCTTAGACACCTTTTCGATCTTTTTAGACTCAACAATGGTGGGAATGAGTAAAAACATTGTAAATAAATATAAAGCTGCCTTTTCCTGAATCTGGCAACCATTTTGCCTCTTGGTTGGAATATCTTTCCTGAAGGCAGTAATTCCCAGCCTCTCAGGTCATCATCTTTCCTAGCTTTATTTGGAGATGCCTGGCATTCTTCTGCTTCTTCTGCTAAGATTACATTTACACCCTTGTTTCCTTCTTCTGGTAAGGAACATAAGAATATAAGAAGAGCCATGCTGGATCAGACCAATGGTCCATTTAGTACACCTGGTGGTAGACCAGCTGCCCATAGGATCCTTCACACAGGATGGGTGCAAGACCTCCATCTGCCCAAGCTCCTTGGCAGCTGGTGCACGCAGGCAGGCCACCTCTGCTAAGGGAAATCACACTTAGTCTGCAAGGCTAGTAGCTATTGATAGCATCCTCCCCATTTAATCAGTTGTACCAGGTCAAGAGCCTTGAGCCTTGAAAAGAGGAGAGTGAGGGGGGACATGGTGTCCCTCTAGAAGTACCTCAAAGGCTGTCACAAAGGGGAAGGGCAAGGTCTCTTCTTGCTGATGCCAGAGTGTAGAACATGGAATAATCAGTTCAAGTTGTGGCAAGCCAGATTCATGCTGGACATCAGGAAAAGCTTCCTAACTGTCAGAGCAATATGACAGTGGAACCAGCTGCCCAGAGAGGTGGTGGGCTCTCCCACACTGGAGACATTCAAGGAGAAACTGGACAGCCACCTGAGTGGGATGGTGTAATGTGGTGTCCTGCAACAGCAGGGGGTTGGACCTGATGGGCTTCATGGCCCCTTCCTGTCATTGTGAGGATAAGATTGAGAGGAGGAGGAGAATTATGAAAGCTGCTTTGAGCTTCTTAAAAGAAACATGGTGGGGTATAAATATAATAAATACATTCCCATGCAAACTTCTGTGATTGACGGAACAGAAGCGCACAATAAAAGCCTTGTGCAGTGAAGCTCTTTTCCTCGTTGGCCCAAATCCAATCAATTAAAATGAGTTGTGCTTACAGTCCATGGAAATGAATGGGACAAGTTAATCCTGGATAAGTACCCAAATGTTAAAGGTATCAGAACCTCGTAGTGTTTTCTGCTTTTTGGTTTTATTCAGTGTTCCTTCGTTTATCCTCACACATTCATTCTCAGCCAAAGAACGCTTAAACTGGTTCATTCCCTCGCTAAAGCATCTAAAATCGATACAAAAAGTAGACATTAAAAATCACAAAAGCAACCAGCAATGAAAGAAACTGGTGGTGTTGCAGCAGCCTGATCAGCCCCATGCCTTCTAGCAATAAAATGTTTAATCAGCTCACTCCCTTATCCTGGGTGACATGCTCTGATTGCCTTCTCTCTCATCAAAGAAAATTAAGTTTCTAATGGACTCGCTGAAGAACAATGATGTGTGCAGAGCAGACTTTTGCTGTTTGCGATCTACACAAGTTAGACCAAATCCAGCATTTGAACATCTCAGAGAATGCTTTCTGCTTCCCAGAGAGTCAAGATC